GTCCACCAATTAGTTGGGTTGGCAATATATAAACCAACAATGTATGTTTGTAGCTTTAAGACAAAGTTACTGTATTGATTTGTACTATGTTCCGATTGGTTGATTGTATTGTGAATTGCCACAAGAGGGAGCTAGAGATCATGGCTTGCTCTCTCTGACATTCTATATCTCTGACATTCTGTTGCTATCTCAGTTTGACTCTGAGACTCTGTTGTATTTATGCTGTTTTTGTTTACTGGAAATGACAAAAGGAACCGGTAAGAAGACTTTGTAATTGGATATTCTTTGGCCTGTAAAATGTACATGACCTGGACCATTTATTGGATTGTGCTATTTCTTAAAGTAAACTTTAACTCAATTTAGTGTGTGTGGCTGAATAATTATTCATAACTACTCTCATAAACGTTTCCATGTGCATATCCTTGTTACTCAAGGGTTATTCTGTACATATCATAACACGAGGGGGCAGGGGGGGATTCAACAATTTTTAACAACCGGTTCTGTGGGCATGGCTTGGTGGTCATGGTTTGGTGGTCATGTGACTGGATGGACATGGCTTGGTGGTCATGTTGTTGGCTGGATCCGGCCAACTCAATATCACTCACATCGAGGCACGCATCTCCTCGCCTGGCCTCTCGTGACTGTGGGGATGCTGCAACAGTTGTAAGTATGAAAAATGGTCATAAGTCATTTTTTTCAGTGCCATTGTAACTTTGAATGGTCACTCCACGCAAGCAAAGTACCAGGAAAGGAGGAGGAAAAAACTCCAGAGAAGTTCCAGAGACAGGAAGTCTAGTCCTGCCAAGAATGTAATAAGGTTTAACAGAGAGGCAGTTTCTGTAAGCAACACCAGAATGTTTCCTTCCTGCCTTCCTTACAGGATTAGCCCAGTAATTTCTTCTAACAACTGGTTCTCCGAACTGCTTAGAATCTTAACAACCAGTTCTAGCGAATAGGTGCAAACCTGTAGAATCCCACCCCTGGGGGGGGGGCGGCTGTGTGCATTGCCTTATGGGTGTTGGCATGCACACTTTTGGCACGCGAGGACGGAAAAGTTAGCCATCACTGCCCTAGAAAGAGCACAGAGAAGGGCAACGAAGAGGATAGAAGATCTGGAGGTCGAATCGTATGATGAGCAGTTGCAGGAACTGGGGAGGTCTCGTCTAAGGATGAGAAGTTTGAGGGGTGATGTGGTAGCAATCTTCTAGTTCTTGAGGAGCTGACACAGAGAAGAGGAGTCGACCTATTTTCCAAAGCATCAGACGGCAGGACAAGAAGGAAGCAGAATTACAGGAAGGCCTCGATTTCCAACTGTTCATTTAGTCACCGTTCAAAGTTGCAACGGCACTGAAAAAAGCGACTTAGGACCGTGTTTCACACTTACAACCGTTGCAGCAATCCCCTGGGTCACGGGATCAAAATTAAGACGCTTGGCAAGTGGTTCATATTTATGATGGTTGCAGTGTCCCAGAGTCAACTGATCCCTTTTTTTGCGAAATTCTGACAAACAGGAATCCAAATTCACTTCATAACTATGTTACTTAAGTTAACAACTTCGGTGATTCACTTAACAGCTGTGGCAAGAAAAGTCGTAAAATGGGGCAAACTCGCTTAACAAAGGTTTCACTTAGCAAAACAAATTTTGGGCTGAATTGTGGTCATAACTCGAGGAGTACCAGTAATAGAATGCTGGAAGCACCAAAGATAGACCATGGTAAGAGTAAAATACGCCACACACACCTCCGCCAAGTAATTAAATCCATAAAAAGCCACACAAACCCCTTTCTGGACAACAATAGCAGGGGGCTCATTCATTTGCCACAGAACCAGTTATGCACCCTTAGCAGAGCCTGGTTACTTCCTGGTTCACACGGAGTGTTACATCTACTTTTTGTTAAATGCAGAATTAAACGTGGGTATGGAAGGAGGCCAGGGGCCCACACAGCAGCCTGGAGTGATTGGGAGGTGGAAGATTATTAATTCTAGATCCAACCTAGAATTAAGGAGAAATTTCCTGACAGCAAGAACAATTAACCAGCAGAACCAATCCAGTCTATTTTGGAAAACCTCTAACACAGAGCACTCACCACTCTGGATTAACAGAGAAATAATTTAACAACTGGTTCTCTGCCCCAATGATTTCTTCCAACAACCAGTTCACCAAACTGCTCCGAAAGTTAACAACCGATTCTCCTGAACTGGTGCAAACTGGCTGAATCCCACCACTGGATGTCCTCAACTAGGAGATCCACTTGAGGAGATCCACATCTTGAGAATCTAATGACCAGGTTCAAATCTGGAGACCTGATGCAAAGATAACAGTCTAATGCTGGAAAAGGTGCAAGGAAAGAAGGAGAGGACAATCCGTAGCAAGGTGGAGGGACTCTTTTGAAGTAGCAATGGGGACATTGTTGGAAAATTGGAAAGACCAGGTTAGGGACAGATTGTCAAGAAAAATATCTATGTGGTTGCTAAGTCAACATCAAGTTGATGGTGCATTGTCCATCCAAATCAGTTGTATGATTTAGCCAAGACAATTATATGGATGATGAACTCACCAACAGCTCAGCCTGAGATGAAGGCTAGAACATAGCATAATAGTTGGAAGGGACCCTTGTGGTCTTCTAGTCCAACCCCCTGCTCAAGCAGGAAACCCTATACCATTCTGGACATATGGCTGTTCAATCCCTTCTTGAAAAGCTCCAGTGATGGAGCACCCACAACTTCTGAAGGTAAGTCATTCCACTATTTTAATTGTACTCACTACCAGGAAAAATATCCGTGGAACAGCTTACCTCCAGAAGTTATGAATAATTTACATCTCACTGGACCTTCTATCTGGGCTCACCCATTCATTTTTTGAGACGGGTGGAGAGATCATGTTTATTACCATATTAGACCACCATCGTAAAAGAATTACGCTGACCAAAATTTGCAGAAGCAATATCAAGCCAAAGGAAAGAGGTATAATTCAACGGTAGCATGGTAAGATTTTTTTTTTATTATTATTTGAGAAGTAAATGCATTTTCGAGACAAAAAAGATTCCATGAATGACACATTGGTTCAGACAACCTGGATTCACACCCTGGTTTGTTTGTTGAAGCTTAGCGTACCAAACATATGTTATCATGCCCAGATGGCCAAGTTAAGTAGACAGGAAACCTGTTGGCTGCTACACCGTGTGGGAATAGTGACCCAGAAAATTGATGATTACTGTCACATGGGGAAGTGTCAGATATTAATCACACACACACATATCCCTCACAGCACAAGCACACAAGAAAAAGTGCCACTCTCTTCATTTCTCTTGTCAGCTTGATATTGGAGTGGGATAAAAACAGACCCTTGGAAATGATAAGAGGAATATAAGTGGTCTTCCACTTACGACCAGAATTTCCATTGGTAAGCAAGGTGGTTATGTGAATCACGCCTGATTTTACTACCATTTTTGCCACGGTTGTGTTGTGGTTAGTCGGCAGCAGGTGCAGATGGCTGAGGAGAGCGAGGACTCAGAGGAGGGGCCAGGACCATCAGGGAGTGGACCGCTGCCTTCAGAGATTGTGGAGGCTGGCAGCAGCGATGAGGAGGTTCCTGAGGAGCCTGTGCCAAGTGCGCGTGCGTGCAGGGCTGCTCATAGGAAAGAGCAGTTGCAGCAGCACAGGCGACTCAGGAGTAAGGCTGCAAGGTAATGGCCCCTCCTTCAAGAAGATAAAAGCCAGCTGTGAAGCAAATGTTCTTTGCAGGAAGCAAAGACGTTTTGAAACTCGAGCCTCATGGACATTCCAGTATCCTGTTTGCAGGATAAAGATGCCATTTCTATCATTCATCAAAGAGGTATTTCTTTTGATTGCATTTCTCAGAAGGATATAATACCTTTGAGTCTCTCAAGTTAGAGAGAGGCAGAATGCAGCATTTTATTATGTGCTATATATGTGCTTTATAGTTCATTTAGTGACCATTCAAAGTTACAATGGTACTGAAAAACGTGACTTATGGCTGCTTTTCTAACTTACAACTGTTGCAGCATCCCCACGAACAACATTCAGAATATTTCGAAGCCAAATCTTTGGCATTCCCAATACTGTTTAATGCAATATGACCAGCTAGAAACTGGAGGATGCTCTTCACCAGTGGTGGGATTCAAATTTTTTTACTACCAGTTCTGTGGACATGGTTTGGTGGGTGTGGTTTGGCGGGCGTGGCAGGGGAAGGTTACTGCAAAATCCCCCTTCCCTCCCCACCCCACTAACCTGCTTTCCAGTCCTGTTCTCCTGTGCAGGGCAACAAAAGAAGACCCAGCCGATCAGCTGGGACTCAATGGGAGGCAGGGAATAGATGGAGGCAGGGCCGGTCAGAGGTGGGATTTGCCGGTTCTCCGAACTACTCAAAATTTCCGCTCCCAGTTCTCTAGAACTGGTCAGAACCAGTTGAATACCATTTCTGCTCTTCACCCCTAATTTAGTGGACTTAGATGGGACACACACACCCATGTCATAGTCAAAAGTTAGGATTCACACGCTATATTGAGACTTGGTTTAATCTTCTAATACATTTCCTAAAAAATGAATTTCTAATTAACTTTTGAACAAACACAATTGACTTTCACAACATAGTAAGCCAAGCACCATCAATATCATGACTTGTGCAAGGTGTGAATCACACCTTACTCTAGACATGATTTGCCAAGATATTCCTGAAGTTTTCTCAGTTCAATTGTTCTTGTATGATTGGTCTTGAAAGCTCCTCTATGTTCTCAGTTACTGTTTATTCCAGTATTTGACTAGGTGGCTCAGAACAGGAGTTACAGGAAGACGGAAACTGCTTTTATTGAGACTGGCTGTAGTAACAGAGGGGTGGGGGCAGGATCGCTCAGTGGTTAAAGACACAGGTTCGAGACTGAGCGCCGTGCAAGAGTGAGCTTCCATCCTCACCTCAGCTCCTACCCACCTAGCAGTTTAAAAGCATGCAAAAGTGAGTAGATAAATAGGTACTATTTCTGTGAGAAGGTAACAGTGTGCCTCGGCATATAGTCATGCTGGCAACATGACCACAGAAGTGTTTTTGGATAATGCTGGCCCTCTCAGCTAAGAAATAGATGAGCGCCACCCACTAAAATCAGACATGACTGAACAAGAGAAACTTACCTTTTATAGTAACAGAATCAAACAGTCTGATGATACTGTACCACTTTCTCCTTGTTTCCCCCCCCTCAAAATTATATATTTATTTTATTCATACTGTATGTTAACTTATCTCACTCTGAAAGTTACAAATATATTTATCTAAAGCCATGGTTTTTTCCCCCTCCCAAACTCTTCCACTTTAAAGAAGTGTGGACTTCCAACTCCCAGAATTCTGCAGAATTCCGCAGAATTCCGCATCATGGCTGGGGAATTCTGGGAGTTCGCAACTCTTAAAGGCTGGCAAATTTGGAGGTGGGACAGTTCTGAAGCCTTTCCTTTATTATTATTATTATTATTATTCAGTGATACAAAGGTGTCTGTCTGAATTGCATCTAACAGATGAGAATCTCTGCAGGTGAACTATAGGGTCGTCGGTACTCTCTGAGCTAGGTAACATTTTCAGTGCAAGTGAGTGTGGAGTTTGCTCCCTGATTATCAATATTGTAGAAATAGCAGTTGTTCCTTGGTGGAAATTTATTTCAGTGCTTTCTGAAACATCTGATACCCGCATGTGGTTTAAATAGGAGAAAATCTCTGCAGCTCTGGGATGAACTGTGGAGTCCTTGATGCTCTCTCTGAGCTGGTGATTTGCAGGCATTTCATGACCCAACTAGGTAACATCATCAGTACTAAAAGGGAGTGGAATTTGCAGAGACAAAGAGGAGGAGAAGGACTATAGGGTCCATGATGTTCTCTGAGTTTAGTGTTTCACTTGCAGACATTTCGTGACCCAACTAGGTATCATCATCTGTGCACTTCTGAATGTTATCAGGACATTCTTGACTTTAAAAAAATTCCTCCTTCTCTTTTACCTAGGAAAAAGTTCCTGCATACCTCCATCAAGGTCAACGTTCTCACTTTCTACACTTGCTAAATCCATCTGGTCCCCATCTTTTCTTTGGGTAATCTCGAGATAATTTAGGGGTTCAGGAGCTCAAGGACCACTTAACTTCTACCTCTCAGTTCTGCCACCTGCTTAACCTCTGTCTGCCTCCTTGAACAAAATCTTGGACTTACAGATAAAGGTGTTTGTGTATCCGAATTCTTAGAATTCCTTCTTCGCCATCCCATAGAAAACAACCACTGCTTCTCTATCACAATCCCATAAGGGCATAGCGCCATCTAGCGGGGGGTCTTTGGAAAACCCCTTGAAGGTTGAATTCATTCATAACATCTCCTGGTTCAACCAATCTCAGCATCAACCAAATTAAAGTAGCTTGTGATATAATAGAATAAATAAATATAGCTTTAAAAAAACAGTGTTCATCCACACTGCAGAATCCAATACTTCTTTCCATGTGCGTTTTCTGTAAAGGATTCCAAGTGCGTTAGTGCAAAATTAGTATACCTCCTCTGGCACCCTGTGTTAGCAACAGATATTTCAAGAAGCCAAAATCCAATTTTGCAGACTTCAGGTCTTTGCCCAAGGCAGAGGGGTGCCCAAATTCCCCATTTCCAAAGCCCTGTAGTTCCTTGGTGTGTCTCCAAAGAAAACAGCAACATGGCCTTCTGGGTTGGTCATTATCTTGAGGAGGGTATTGAAATAGAGCAGCAAAAGCTATTTTAACACCAGTAGAGCTAAGGATGATTTGATAGTCTCATCCATAGGCTGGAGAAAGGCTTTCTTTAATGAAAGTCCCCTCCTTACTCTCGTGTCTAAAAGACTCTGGACAGTAGCAAATCTCCCTCAAAGCTGCAAGCTTGAGTTCCGTTTTTCCCATCTCAAAGGAAGGCAAAATGTAATCGCGGCTCTTGATCGGCCAGCTGCTTCTTGACGTCCTCTGAGATAGAATTGTGCCATAGCCTGGAAAGACAAAGGAGCAGTTTTAGGCACCCGAAGAATGGTACTACTGCCAGCTTACCATTTGCAGCAAAGCAAAGACCCTGCTTTAAAGCGGTTTTTATCCAATCCGTCAGAATAAACCTGGAAGAAGGGACCTTGGAGGTCTTCTAGTCCAATTCTCTGCTCAAGCAGGAGACCCTGTATCATTTCAGACAAGAGTCTGTCCAGTCTTTTAAAAACCTCCAGTGATGGAGCACCCACAACTTCTGAAGGCAAGCTATTCCACTGGTTAATTGTTCTCACTTTTGGGAAGTTTCTCCTTAATTCTAGGTTGTATCTCTCTTTGGTTAGTTTCCATCCATTGTTTCTTGTCTTGCATTCTAGTGCTTTGGAAAATAGGTTGACCCCCTTCTTCTTTGTGGCAGCCCCTCAAATACTGGAATACTGCTATCATGTCCCTCCCTAGTCCTTTCCTCTAGATTGGTCATATCCAGTTCCTGCAGCTGTTCCTCGTATATTTTAGTCTCCGGGCCTTTAATCCTCTTAGTTGCTCTTGTCTGCATTTCCCCCCAAATCTCAACATCTTGTGTGGTGACCAAAATTGGATGCAATATTTTAGGTGTGGTGTTACTAAGGATTTATTCGTCTCCATTCATTGGAATAGAATAGAATAGAATAGAATAGAATAGAATAGAATAGAATAGA